TCACCGGACTGCTTTAGATCGCCCCACACTTCAGATCGGCCCCGACTCGCTCAGGATCGCCCCACACTCAGGTGTCGCCCTACACTCAGGCTCACCCCGACTCTCAGATCGCCCCGACTCTTCAGGATCCGCCCCACACTCAGATCGCCCCACACTCAGATCGCCCGACTCTCAGATCGCCCCACACTCAGGGTCGCCCCACACTCAGGTCGTACCCCGACTCTCAGATCTGGCACTCGGACCTCAGACGCTCCCCTACACTCAAGATCGCCCCGACTCTCAGATCGTCCCCACACCTCAGGTCGCTCTCCCCACACTCAGGATCCCCCCACACCAGGTATCGCCCCACACTCAGGTCCCCCCACACTCAGGTCGCCCCACACTGTCAGATCGCCCCACCTCCGTTCACTGGGGGGCCGCGCTCCCGGGCAGCCCTCAGCCCTGCGCGGTCCCGCGAGTCCCCTTCACCGCGCTTGAAGCTCCGCAGGGGAGAGTCGCGCCCCCCGGATCCGCGTGAGGCGCCCGTGGGTTCGGGAAGGACGCTGCAGGCCGGGCAGCGGCTGGCGGCAGAGGCTGGGGGGTCCCCCGCGGCTCGGCCCGGCAAGGAGAGAGGCCCGGGGAGGGGGACATTACCCCCCGTCCCCCCCCCCGCCCGGGCCGTGGGCGTCGCGGGTCAGTGTGGGCTCGTACGAGGCGGCGGCGTGACCGGACCCTCCGCGCGTCGCACAGCCGTTCCTGGAGCAGTTTAAGCTGAGTGTCATTTCTACAACGGGACGCAGCGGGTGCGGCTCCTGGTGAGAGTCATCTACAACCGGGAGGAGTTCGTGCGCTTCGACAGCGACGTGGGCGAGTTCCGGGCGGTGACGGAGCTGGCCGCCGGACGCCGAGGTACACTGGAACCGCCAGCAGGACCATGGAGCGGGACGCGGGCCGCGGTGGACACGGTGTGCGACACAACTACGGGGTCGTCGAGAGCTTCATCGTGCGGCGCCGAGGTGAGCGCGGGCGGGCGGCCAGGGCTGTGGGCGCGTGACCGCGGTGGGGCGCTGC